TTAAATCAATTAAGCTAGCTGGGCAGAAAACAAATCAATGTTGGTGTGACTTTATGGCTCGGGTGAAATAAATGTCATATGTAACCAAGGCCCAGCCTACAAACTGATTAATAAATGTAAATTAATTCAGCTTAAAATCGTCAAAATATACTGTTAAATTATTACTGCGTTTTATCTTATCTTATCCTACGGAACGCAAGTAGAAAAACCTCTCACAATGGTGATTTTAGCACGATGATGCCTGTCAAAAAAACGTCACATTATGTTCTCATCCTCATCCCAGCCCGTCCTCGTCACCATTTTGAGACGAGAACGTTAATTATCCTATATACTTCAACTTCAACTTCAATGGGTGTGATAAAACATATTGAAGAAAAGTGTTCGTTACTTTTAGTTTACTCTGGCTGGAATAACCAAACTCGTTCTAAAGCACGCATTTTTTTACCTGCTTGAGTCTCGGCTTCAGATCGCTGCTGAGGGAATGATGTACGAGACGGAATAAAAGAGCGAGAAGCTCCACAGCCTTGGCCGCGCCGCTGCAGAGCGCTGCAGAGCTGGCGCGCGTACGCCCCGTCCTGGCCCGTCTTTGAGGAAGCCGCCCGCAACAATAACAGACCGGACCCTGGGCCGGGGTGACCTCCTCCCCTATGGACCATATAAACTGGCCGAGCTGACCTATAAACCCACAAACCCTACCCCGGCCGGCGGCAGCCTTGGGCTGCGCAGAGACCTTCTTTGTTTGGACCAAGAGCGTGGCATAGCATTAGCCCTCGCCCCCCCGGCCCCGGCTCAGGGTGATTGCAAGCACAATGCACTACCTGTCTGTCCTCCGCGCCGAAGGCTGCTCCGGCCGGCTCAGCCCCCAGAGAAGCATTATGAGGATGACCCCGTTTTTAACAACAGGACAAAAACGGGGTCAATTGCAGAATATACTGCGCGCGGCGCGCTGTTTGAGTAAAAATGTTTTCGCGCCGCTGGTCGAGTAGAGGGGGCAGGAAGTCCTTCAGAGGGTATCTGAAATAATATTTCGCCTGGCTCCACTATTATTACTATTCCTCCCATTTTGTTTTTCTATTATTTCAGGCCCAGCGATAGGGGGCGCTGTTGTCTGGGCTTGGATTAGGTTCTGAACATTGCCCAGTCGGATGCCCCATCGCTTTTGAAACAAACAAACGAAATGATAAAGTTGATAATCGGCCCAAGCACTTTTCATATAAAAACATTTAGATCCTGTGACGACATTAAAAGTGAGCATTCGAGTGAGCATTGTACACAATTAACGAACATGTGTATGTGCACTGAGTACTGAGTTTCATCTCCGCGGGAGACTAAACAGGTTAGCGTTGAATTTTCTTCTTCTTCTTCGTTGTGTGAGAGTGTGCGGGAAGGGAGGGGGGGGGGGGGTTGTAATAGGGCATACTGTGCACGAACTCAGCACTTGCCAGGTGGTCCATGAGAGTGTGGTGAGCAAAGCCACCATACCAGCACCGCGCTGTTCCTAGAGTTCCTAGAGACTGTATGAAGGGTAGGAGTTTCGGCGGGGTGCGGCGGGCATGACGGGGGCATGGCAGGGCGGCCACAAAGCCTTGGAAACTTTTCCCGAGCCGCGAGCGGCGGGGTGGGGCCGCCGGGCGCCCTTTAGTCCTTTTACCTTGGCACTTTGACGCAGGTTCGACGGACGGACGGCAAAATCAGCCTTGTGACCTCTAACGTCTATTTATGCAATGTGTGTGGGGGGGGGGCGAAGAGACGCCACGCCACGCCACGCCTAACGTCTATTTATGCAATGTGTGTGGGGGGGGG